GAGAGAGAGAGAGAGAGAGAGAGAGAGAGAGAGAGAGAGAGAGAGAGAGAGAGAATGAAAGAGAAGGAGAGAGAGATTGATCTGCGGGCGAGCTCGTCGAAGGGATTAGCTCGGCCAGTCCCGTGCGATTTTCATCAGGTGATGGTACTTTAACTATAGATTAAAGGATCCGTCTGGCAAGCCGAAATGAGATCCACCTTTCCCCTTTCGGCGAAGCCGAAGACCGAAATCAGCCGAGATACGGCGAGGAAAGGTGAATACGCTATCGAGGACGAATTTACGGCTATTCGAAAAAGGCTCCCCAACGAGCTACTCTCTTCTCTGCGAAATCGCTCGGCTGCTTTAGCGCGCGAGACGCTGCGAATGGTTCGAGAAATGCTCTCTTTTCAGCGAGAGAGTTCGTCGCGCCGCGCGATTCCGAAAGTTCACTCGAAAATCGCTCGGCTCGCGATTCAGCAGAGTTACGGGGAGTTTCCGACGACGGGGAATATGTGTATTTTGATTCTATGTTAAACCTTGAATTTTATAACGTAGTAGGAGCTAAGTTAGTAAAGTAGATTTGATTCTAATGATACAATTTACTTCTATACGGAATAAAATTTCTTTTCGATTATTGGCCAATTGCTATTAATAATTGTTGCTAACAACAAATTATCAAAATTTTCGCGATTGATTATTTCGTCACTAAATTAAATATTCCGCGTAAAATCGTGGCTGCGAGATACGGGTTCGCGGATGAATCGCGAATAATTTACGGCTCGGCGCGCGCTGATTATTATAAATCGAGCCTTAAACCGCTGGGTTTAATTTGCAAGGCGCCGGGCGCGCTCCATCGATAACCAGGGCTCTGATGGCCCTCGCGAGAGAGTGCGAATGCCAGGAAGCGCCGTTCGACATTATCGAGGCCCATGATATTCATCAACCTAATGGTCTCGCGGCTAAGGCGAGCGTGTAAAGCTCATTAAAAGCTCGTTAGAAAGCCGCCGCCACCGGCACACCGGGATGCTTCAAGTGACGTGGACGTTGCAACCGGGAAATCGGTCAGAAAAGTGGAGGATTGAGTGGATAAAAGCGATTGCGCGCCAGAACGAGTGCTCGCTATTCTACAGAAAGACGGCTGGAACCTCCCCGGCTCTCTTCTCCCTTTCCGTCCGTCTTGCGAGTTAAACGCGCGTCACGCCATAAGAGCGATTTATATATCCTTCTTCGCTGAATTTAATTATTTGCAATTATTAATCTTCAGTATATCATCGTGGTTCGAATTAAATTAATTAGTGTATTCCATTTGGAAAGACAAAATGGATAAAAATTTTCTCATTGTCCTTCAGGAAAATTCTAAAAAAAAAATAAAAACCTTAACAGGTTGATTTTTACAACTGTGTTAAAACTGTGTATGTGTGTGTCCTAAAGAAGAAAAACAATTATATAATATAATAGTTGAGTTTCTAATTAATCCTAAAATTATAATGGCAAATTATAATTGAGTGTGAAAAAAATATACCCTACTCTCTATAAATTAGTATATTCTTCATTGAAACACTATACTTATAGTTAATAGTTCAATTATAAATTTCATCAGTGATGGTTCAATGATTTTCGGTAAAATATTCCTTCTGCTCATTCAATCAGAAATATTTCTATTGGTTTTACTTTAAAGTAGAAAGTTTTTTTCACTTTTAGTATAATAATTGAGCTGTATACTGACGGTTAAATTAAGAAGAAGCACTTGGAAGTTCCATAAAAACATGGTAACTCACTCACCTGAGTCATGGTGTCGCCGTTGACCTTCAGCTTCGATTGGAAGTTGCTCTGCTCCAAGAGGATCTTGGCGTTGTTGATGTACACGTCCACGCCATGCGCGCTCACTCTCCTGGTGATCCACAGGGGTGGGTTGCCCTCCAACTCGGAGGATATCGAGTCCCTGAGCTCCTCGATCGTCAGAGGCCGGTTCGCTGTAACCCACAAGGAGAAACGACGCCTCGTCAGCGCTTTGTTGCACAACGAAATACGTTTCGGGCTGTTGTCGGCGAAGTGTTTTTTTTTTTCGCGGTAGCCACGCGGACGAATGCCGTCACAAAGCGGCTACTTGAGTCCTCGCGAGACTACCGGCGAAGAAGCTGCGGTTTTAGTTCCCCGGGACCACCAAGTTTTCTGATGTTTTTATTCTCGGTGGAATTGGGGGATTTTTATTCATCGTAAAAAGACACAGCATGTGCGCAAGAGAGAGAAAGGAGAAAGAGAAAGAGAGAGAGAAAAGGAATAAGAGAGACAGACGGGGAAAAACGTTGAAAATAACGCGAGCGGCAGTAGAAGCTGGAGATAGAGCAAACTTCAAAAGTCCGCGACGGAGCTACAAAGCTCGTCGCTTTATTATCCCGTTACCGGCAGAACGTCCTCGTAATACTGAGGTTTTTCCTCTCTCGTGGCCGTGTGGTATTCGCGTGAATGTGTGTGTGAGAGTGAGTGCGCGCATAGAACGAAATAGACAGGTGTGTCCTTGCTATTATTACTTGATGCAGGACTTGAAATGATCAGAGACAAAAAACTTGAGTAAATAAATATTTACTCGAATTCTCGACATGTTTATCACGCACATACTCCACCTCTGCGCAGTTAAACAAGCTACATAATTATTATCCTAGTTATTGAAATTCTGAATTGAGATTAGAGGAGACGCAGGTGGTATATTGAGATCAAATGGAAACTTGAATTAGTCTCGGATATCCATTCTCTACAAATTCGTAGACGCTTCTGACAACCGAACCTCTGAGACGTGAGATTATTCTTGCGACTGCCTCTCGAAATAGACGGTATTTAAGTGATTTTCCGTAACATAAAGAGTATTTCCGTGTCAGACTTGACATTTCCCCGACTAAAGCGGAAAGCGCGCGACTCTCTCGCGCATACAGTCGAATATTCGTACTCTCCCTCTTATAATCTCGGCATAAGAATCCGCAAGCTTCCGCCGCGCACGCCTCTTTCGAGGGGTGAACTATCGATTATCGCGGCGAGGGTGTATTGTAGTTTCTAAGAACCTGTTCACGACACGAGCGATCGCGCCGTTCCTCGCAAGCTCGGAAAGTCCAATCTCCGGGGGGAAAGCGGGCGGGTGTTAGGTAGCGCGCGGAGCCAACAATGACGCTCATTACGAACGCCAGGAATTGAGTCCCGTTTCGTAAACCACCGGTCGTCTCACCCGGAGGAACTTTCGAGGACAAGAGGCGGCCGGCGCCGTAGAATCTCGTTTCCCCCGACAACGCGAGCGACAACGACGACGACGGCGACGGCGAAAACTACGGACGAGATGTCCCGACGGAAAATAATTTTCCCCACCCGCGACTTTCCCGCGGAATTGCGCGGCAAAGCGGCGTTTTATCGGCGGGCCGGAAAACATTTTCCGCTCGTGCTTCGCAGCGTCCGACGACGACTCTCTCGGATCGAAGGAATATCCGCGAACGTTTCGGCTTCTCTTCAGCTTCTCCGCTCTCTTACTCCTCTCCCCTCGCCCTCCTTCTCTCTCTCTCTCTCTCTCTCTCTCTCTCTCTCTCTCTCTCTCTCTCTGCGGCTCCACGGATACTTTGCCGAATCTTTAACGAGCGCGTAAACAATCGTCGTTTCGCCGGGTGGGAGCGCACGAAATCTCTTTCTTTCTTTCTTTCTTTCGCCGTACGTACATACGACCATTACGTCGACGGTAATTCGTCGGGGGTGCGTGTACGCACTACCACCGGAAGCCGCCATGGTAATCGTAAAATTTACGATCCGCCACGATGTATCGTCGGAGCAGCGCGATTACGACATCGGGAGGAGTCGCTCATTCCGCCGCGTAAGGTAACATTTATGGCGACGGCTCGGAGCATAAAAGTCGAGGCGAGTTGTTGGCTTTTACACTCGGTTCCCTTCCCCGTCGAATGTATACAACAATGCAGTGGTGCGAGTCGGATCGCTGATCGAAAATTTTATTCGCACAAATTTACCTCAACGAAGCACACGTTACTGTTTAACCGCTTCGATACAATCGCATCTCTTCATTTTACGTGCAAAAGTTGTCAACAAGCTTCGCAGAGTTCCTTCTTGTTGAAATTAAAGACGAAGATCAAATGCGGACAAAAAGATACAATCAGGTGTTAAATTATTCCCAAAAACCATTATCTAAAAATCTTCACCAATATAAAAAAATGCTTACAACGCGGGTCCAACCGAGGTCTCAACGTGTCGAATGTCGCTCGTGCACAGACCTGAGTTACGCGTTATTAAGGTAAATTTTTCCCGGTATGACGATCTTTCGCGATATGAAGCCAAGCTTATACCGCAGCCATGTATGCGCGTATCAGAGACGTGCGCTGATCAGAAGGCCGTATCGTGCCGCGTGATATAATGCTTTTATATCTCCGTGACACGCCTCGTCAATCACCCCTCGAACAGTTCATGCTTGATCTTTTCTTCCGCTATGTGAGGTGTCTCGGAAGGAGATACGAGCGCGTGTATATACGAGGCGTCGTGGCTTCGATATGTTACGAAATGCGTGAATTTAGCGGTGTTTACAACAAAAACTTAAGTCGGACATGTACCTGATCAGTGTTTTATCTTTAAATACGAGTGTTTACGCGGAAACAGGCGGAAGACGCAGGGCGGAATTTTCACTGTGTTCCGAGAGCCGAAGGGACGCGAACGGCTGTAGAGGATGCGAGGCACGTACGAAAACTGGTTAGGCGTGGACGAGCAGCGATCGCATTATCGATCTCCGAAGTCGAGGGGTTTATCGTGGCGCCCGACGACGAATAAGAGCTTTATTCGCGCCGACTGGATTTTTATAGCGCGTCTCTGCCGGCGCATTTCTCTTGTTGCTCGTGATCGAGAGAGAGAAAGAGAGAGAGATAGATAGACAGAGAGAGAGAGAGAGAGAACGGTGCTTTATGCGACGTGATCGAGTCGCGAGGGCGGATGTATGCCCTTTCAGGGGGCAATATCTCCACGCCGGCGAGAGTGAGGACGGCAGTAGCGGGAGAGCGTTTTGTCCCCCGGCCTCCTCCGAGCCTTTTCGCTCTTTCAACGAGGCCGAATGATTAAGCCGTCGATCGATTCGCATTTATTTCCTCCGTCGCGACGCGCCCCACTGCGAAACGGGACACAGGTGCTACGGCCGACCACAAAACGAGAAGAGCCGCGTGGCAAAGCTGCTTGCGCATCGATTTATATCCCGGCCATGCGACGAGACGTTTCCGCTTGCGCGCTCTCTCTCTCTCTCTCTCGCCTCTTCTGTCCGTTCCAAAAGCCGAAATCCGACTTTCAAACATGCACCTCGCACTGAGGACGAACGTGCGCGTACCATCTTATCGGATGTATATTCAGGCTACAGTGAAATGAGTGACAGAGAAAGAAGGAGAGAAAGAGAGAAAAAGATAGAGATAAAGAGGAAAAGGGGGAGAGAGAGAAAGAGGCGGCTGAATATTTTACCGTGTCGGGGTGAAATATCCTTCGGACAAATAGCGAAAATAATGCCAATCGGAAACGTACGAGTCAAGAGAATTTCATCTGCGTAAGTAAGTCCATGATAGAGATTAAACGGAGTTGTGATACGCGAATGAGATGCGTTCGCGCGGGACGAACCATTCCTCCCATCGCAAACTGCGCGAGAGCAAAATTCGCTCATCAACAACGGAATCGTATCGTTGTCGTCGCATTGTTTCGGATTGTATCAAGAGCAGTATAGCCGCTCTTGGCGCACAGTACTTTGCTTTTCCCACCTCTGTCTCCCCCGCGTCTTTTAAGCGCGCTTCTGTTTCTAACCTAATGTGACACTTCGCGCTTGCATCCCACGTTTCTCGGATTCGAGCATTGATCGCGCTTGACGGGACTTTTCTCCGAGTGCACAACCAACTAATCTATCTATTGAGTTATCTAGCGCTTGGTCTGAGTGCGTTTTACCTCGTTCTCCGGAGATGTAATCGAATTCCCGATGTGGCTGCGTACCGCCGGATGCATGAGCGAAAGAAGGAAGAGCAGCCAACTTCTAGAAATCCTTTAATAAGAGATCGGACACTGTCGCCTGTAGATACTAGATTCGCCATATTTCCGGATCCAAACCGGAAGTATACTTATCTCACTTATTGCAGCAGTTCAGCAGTGCAGCCAGTGCAGCTAGAGATCCTCTAGTAAGAGATGCGCAATCTTTGAGTGCGACGAGATTAGTCCTGGCCGACTTTGCAAGAATATGGCGAAATGAAATAATCGTATTTTATTGGTAAAGGCGCGGTAAAGATAAATTAATTAAAATTGAAGATAAATTACGTAAATTGAATTTAATAAATTTATAGATATGTAAAATAGAAAACCCTTTTGCTGCAGAATTTTTACAATTTGGAACGCAGCAGTCTGACATTATATTTTACTTCAGATATCTCCTATGTGAATATGACTATGTTAAAATATTTTCAATTCTTATATGTATTTTACAATTTATGTGAAATAATATTTTATTATAA